ACATAGTATGAGTCCTTGTGCCGTTCTTGCCTTACTTACCCCAAAGAAAGATGAAACTTGGAGAATGTGTATTGATAGTCATGCGATTAATGAAATCACAATTAAATATAGATTTCCAATTCCAAGATTACCAGACCTTCTAGGTCAATTATATGGATTAAAATTTTTCTCCAAAATTGATCTTAGAGTTGGATATCACCAAATTTGTATCAGACCGGGAGATGAGTGGAAAACCGCCTTTAAAACTAGTGAAGGGTTATTTGAGTGGCTTGTAATGCCATTTGGATTTTCTAATGCAACAAGTACATTCACACGCCTTATGAATAAAGTCTTACAACCATTTTTTTGGAAAATTTGTTGTGGTTTATTTTGATGACATCTTAATCTATAGCACAAATCTAGATGAACATCTTATTCACTTGAAGCATGTTTTGTCTATTCTTAAAGATAACTCTTTATATATCAATTTGAAAAAATACATTTTTGGAGTGCCTAAACTTGTCTTTTTAGGATTTATAATAAGTGAGCAAGGCATAGAAGTCAATCCCATAAAGAATAAGGCCATAATTGAACCTTCAAATGTTAAAGAAGTTCAAAGTTTTCATGGGCTTGCATCTTTTTATCGGAAATTCATTAGAAACTTTAGCACTATAGCAGCTCCTTTGACCGAATAGCTTAATAAAATGGGGTTCCAATAGGGTAAAGATAAAAAACGTAGCTTTGAGACCCTAAAACAACGGTTAACTACAACACCTATCCTACCACTGCCAAGTTTTGATAAATTGTTTTTAGTTGAAGTAGATGCTTTGGGCAAGGGAATAGGTAGTTTGTTAAGTCAAGAGAATAAGCCTATTGATTATTTTAGTGAGAAACTTAGTGAAGCTAGACAAAAGTGGAGTACTTATGAGCAAGAACTTTATGCCTTGATTAGAGCATTAAAATAATGAGAACATTATCTAATAGGAAAGGAATTCATATTATATTCTGATCACCAATCCGTATAGTACATCAACTCCTAAAAGCACTTATCTAGGATGCATGCTAGATGGATTACTTTTATTCAACGTTTTGATTTCTCCATCAAACATAAATCTGGACAAACTTACAAGGTGGCTGATGCATTAAGTAGAAGATCTCGCTTTTGAACATATTGAGAGGTGAAATAATTTCCTTTGATAACCTTGCTGATTTATATGAGCATGATGAAGATTTTTATGATATTTGGCAAAAATGCAAAAATGGACATGCTTATAAAGACTTTAGCATAACTAATGATTTTATCTTTAAAGACAATGCACTTTGTATTCGACGCATATCATTACAGCTGCAAATTATTGGGGATACTCATTCCGGTGGGCTAGGAGGCCATTTTGGCTGAGATAAGACAATTGAACAAGTGCTTAGCAGTTTTTTCGGCCGGATGTTGAAAATTATATGAGAAGATGTCTTGTATGCCAAGTTGCAAAATGGACAAAATAAATGTTTGTACACTCCTCACCCTATTAAAACAAATTGAGAAGATCTCACTATGAATTTTGTATTGGGTTTGCCACGAACCCAACGAGGTAACAATTCTACTTTTGTAGTGGTTGACCATTTTAGCAAAATGGCTCATTCCATACCGTGTAGGAAGACTAATGATGCTATTCTTATTGCCAATATATTTTTTAAAGAAGTGGTTAGACTACATGTAATACCCAAATCTATCACAAGTGATAGGGATACAAAGTTCATAAGTAATTTTTGGAAATGCCTTTGACGGAAGTTCGATACTCAATTAAAGTATAGTACAACTTGCCACCCACAAACGGATGGCCGAATCTAGGTTACAAATAGAACCTTGGGTAATTTGATTAGATGTTTAAGTGGGTATAAGCCAAAGCAATGAGATCTTTGTTTACCGTAAGCAAATTTTGATTTTAACAACCTGAAGAATCGGTCCACAGGCAAAACTACTTTTGAGGTAGTATATACTAACCCTCCTCGCTTAACTCTTGATCTAATAAGTTTGCCAAGTGTTGCAAATTTGAGTTCGGAAGCTGAGTTAATGGCTGATCGGGTTCAAAGAATTCATAAAGAAGTTAAAGGAACATCTCGAGGAATCAAATGCTAAGTACGCCCAAGTTGCTAACAAGAAATGAAGGTACAAAGAGTTTGTTGAAGGAGATTTGGTTCTTGTGCATCTTCGAAAAGAGAGATTTCCAATAGGAACCTACAATAAGTTACAAAAGAAGAAAATCGGACCTTGTATGATCCTTAAACGTGATACTCCTACACTGTAAGTATTTCACTCCATCTTCATCTCTGTACTCGGCACCTTTCTTGAAGATGCGCGCGCGATATGAGATACTAACACCTTCAATGTTTCGAATTTATCTACATATTATCCTCCTAATGAACTTAGTGTTTAAACTCGAGGACGAGTTTTTTTTTTTATGGGAGAATTGATGTAGTAGTTTATTAGGTGTTTAGATGTTAGGCTCTTTTTGTAATTAGATTAAGTATTTTGTTTGTTATTATTGTTTAGAATTAGTTAAGTTATTAGTTAGTTACTGTGGTTAACTTTAAGTTAACCATTATTGTAATTATAGTCCATTGGCTCATAAGCTAAGCGTATATATAAAGCCTAGACTTCCCGTATTTATTGACTTTTTTTTATCATTAATAAAACAACTTGTAGCCTAAGGCTTTTTCTGCTCCACCAGCTCGAGTCTATCGGCCTAGGATGGATAGACCTAGCGTGGTCGACTCGGGATGGTTGTCTGATAACACACTCTATGAGCTACATTTAATGAGATTTAATGAGCTACATATTTTGCACGAATAAATCATCGAGAGGAAATGAGACATAAATGGATCAAATTGAGAGAAAAATCATAGCTTTAGCGAATAAGGAAAAGTACACAACATGCATTGGAGCCCAAATAGTATAGAGAAAATATAAAGTTTATATTTTTGCCCAAGAGGCGAGCACCTAGGCGCTACCTCATGGTGCCTAGGTGGCACCACAACTTTATGGCACCATGGCACTATGAACAAATTTCCACTTGCCTTTCTCTTCTGCAGCACCATGATGCTTCCTTATGGTGCTGTCGTGACGGTTTTCTTTATAAAACTAGTTTTTTCAACCGCCAAGAATGATCTTAGACACAACCAGTTATTCATATCTTTAATTACATCGAATTTTAGAATCATTCTTTGAAACCTTTGGGAGAGAGACACGAGATAACTCGAAAATAAGTGGAAAATGAGCATAGAGTAAGGATTTTAAAGGCTCAAAATCGTGGAAATTGGCTCAGGACAATCAATCGACACAAGAAACTTAGTTTTTATCATTTCCTTGATTTTGTAGTTCGTTACAAAACTCTCTCTGGGACTTTATTGTTTTATATTGAATATGAGTGGCTAAGTTCCTTTGTATTAGGTATTGATGTAGCCATGGAACTTTATAGCTTAATTATTTAATTCTCTTGATTGAATTATTATGAACGTACTATTTATGTTTCTCTTTGCTTAATGCATTTAATCTACTGGCTATAGATTGATTGATATTACACTTGAAATCTTACGTTCGGAAGACATGGTTTAAAGCTAAAACTAGGATGCATATCTTAGGGGTTTCGAGATTAGAAGATTTAGATGTCATTCAGAGATCGTTAAAATACGTATTCTTTAAAGACAATTGAGATTTGAGAGTTATTGACCTATAGAATTAATAACTCATTCAATCCTTAGTAATTAAACAATTGGTTCATAGATTCAATGGGTGAAATCAATTCCCTAGCACATTTCTTCCCCTACCACTTCATTAAGGAATGTGAGGAACATACAAAAGAATGAGATGTATAGAAAAGCTCTCCAATTTAGAGAAATTATAGCTATATCATAATTACAAAGATGTGGGATTTTGATATCCATATAGAAGCAGTAATTTTGATATCCTCCCAAATGAATATGAAAGCCAATGACTTGCCAACAAGGTGCAATTTTTTCTTTCAACCCAAACATGCCCAAAAGTGGAACAGGGCCGCATTGCTCTTTTGATTTTCTGTTATTATTGCATGTTTATTTGTATTGATTCTATTCTCTTATTTGATTTTTATTCTCTAAATAAAATTGAGCGATTGTATATGGGATATGTGAGTGAGCTACAAACTCAATCCATAGGACCATATTGGTATTGACTTACCACTTTCATTAAAACTTGACCTGTACACACTTGCAATAAGCAATTTCTACTTCAAGTTTTTAGCGTCGTTGCTGAGGATTGCCAATTATTTAAGTTTTGCTTGATATCATGGATGGCTTGCTTGGTCAAGACCTAGGTTGCTTGGGAAGAGCTGGTTGTGTCTTTGGTGATCGGCCTAGCCTAGTTGCCTAGGGTGCTTGTCAACATGAGTTAGTTTAGGTTGGTAGCTCAAGGCTAGTCGAGCGTTAGATAATCGTCCCACACGGTGGGTCGGCCAAGATTAAATGTGCTGATCAGCTTGGGGTAGTTGGATCGAGCTGGTTGGGCTCAAGATGGTCAATCCCAGGTTGATTGACCCAAGTCAGTTGGCTCGTGCTCTTTGGCTTCGGGTGGTCAGGCTCTAATCTATTAACACTAGTTAGTCGGCATATGCTGGTCGACCAGGTTGATCTACATTTGGTGGTGAGGCTTGTGATGATCGTCATGGGGTGGTCGGGCCCATAATCTAGTTAGGGTGGGTTAGTTGAATAGGGTTGGTCGACCTCACGATGGTCGTTCGGATGTGGTTGGCCAGCGTTAGTCGGCTCAGACTCATCGATTTGGGGTGGTTAGGCTTGGAATGGTTGCAGCTAAGATGGTCGTTCTAGGCTTATCGGCTTGAGGTTGTCAAATAGGATTCGTCGGCTTGGACTAGTCACCCGTGGTGGTCGACCCGTGTTGGTCACCCGAGGTGGTTAGCCTAGGCTGGTTGGCTCGAACTCGTCGATTTGGGGTGGTTAGGCTTGGAATGGTTGCGTCTAAGATGGTTGTTCTAGGCTTGTCAGCTTGAAGTTGTCAACTAGGGTTTGTTGGCTTGGACTAGTCAACCTATGGTGGTCGACCCGAGTTGGTCGCCTAGGTTGGTCAACTCGAATTAGTCGACTAGAGGTGGTCGGTCCAAGTTGGTCGACCAAATCGGATGGCATTGGATGGTTGACACCGAGTTGGTCAGCCAAAGTTGGTAATTAGGATGGTCGTCTCAAGGTTGTCAGGCCTGTGATGCCTTAAGATGGTTGTCGGGCCCATGCTTTTCACTTGTCAGATTGATTGGCCTAGCTGGCTTGGTCTTCACTTAATTGGCCTAGGTTTTTTCAACCTGCGTTAGTCGACTCGAGTCGGTCGCCTAGTTTGATCTGCCCGAAAAGTATCTTACAGCTCCTGATGATAGAAAAAAGAATCTCGAAATAAGGCGCAGAGAAAGGGGTGAAAGACCCATGAAAGTCTCAGCACTGAAAATAATGACTTTTTTTTTAAGAGATGATTCCCTATTAATCACATTAAGAAAAATTATCTACCAACTAATACTTCAAAAATCACTTTAATAAGATTTTAGATTTTCTCAATTTTATTTTTATTTCTTGCCAAACATGATCCTTTTAAATGAAATTGATTTTAATAACGACAAAAGTCATTTTAGTCATCCTTAAATCGTTACGAAACCAAAACCAAAAGATGTCTTGAATTAAGTGTAAGAGTAGTAGGTTTAATCACATAACCCAAAAGATGCATTTTGAACTGAATGCATAATAACCTAATTCAAGTTGACAGTTGCAAGAAAGAGATAAAAAGGATTTTTGAACTTCACCTTCCTTTGGTCACAATTACTCCAGGCAAATTACTGATTTTTGTCAGAGCAGCTCTCCATGGTTGGATCTGCTTTTCTTCAGCTACCAAAGCACGTGCTTCATATCGATCAAAACTTTTCTCGAAAACCCCCGACTGATCTCGAACATGAGAACGATCCACGCGATAAAACACGGGAATGACTTGTCGCGTCGTCTCAGCCACACAATCCATAATCTTGGCCAACACTCTCAGCCGCCGCTCAGCGGCGTAGTCTTTTGATAGAACGACGATCCAACACCTTGAATTTTGGATTATATTCTCTAGCGTTTGATGGAGTTCATCTCCAAAGCTATGGTCAATCGTAGTTATGAGGCCAACATTAGTCAGGGCCTTATCCAAATAAGAAGCGAAATCTCCCTGGCTGTCCCTTTTGCTGAAACTTATGAACACATCACAATTGTTCATCGGAGGATCCTGCGGCCAAGTTGATAACTCAGACGCAGAAGATGCCTCCGTGCGCCTTGACATCAAAACAGAAGAAGATTCCCTCATGCTTCTTAAAGGGCTTGAAAACAAAGCAAGATCCAAGGACTCCATGGCCCTCATTCTTCTTCTTGGAAAACGCCTTGAAATTCGATGACGATCCTCAATATCATCCTGATCCATTTTACTTTCTGATCTTTCTCACCACCACTATGTTTGCAAGGATTTGCAAGATAGCATATATATATATATGTACAACTTGTTCTACACGTTATATTTTTTTAGAACTCATACCATCAAACCTCAAACTTTATTACAATTTAACCTAAATTTTTCAATTCTATAAAATACAATGGGTTATTATTCTCGTTCCTAAGCTTGTAAATCTCATTCCAAAATATTATGTAATATAATGATTCATTCTCATTCACCCTCTTAACTCTTCGAGGAATTTTGGTACCCTTTCGATTATTAATTATTAGTCCAGATTATGCAACAGTCTGCTTCCTTAAATGATAGTTGGTCTCTTAAATGATAGTTGGTCTCCTCCCGTCAATCAAGAGAAGGCTTTCTACTTATCTCTCAAAGTAACGGTACTGAAACAATCAAGTGAGAAGAAGAATGAAAACATACAAAAGATAGTGTGTTTGTGTTGGAAAAGTAGGAACTCAAGACAGCAGAGTATATATGCCACCTTGCCACATCTAAGCTCAATCATTGCATCCGATCTCATCGCTTTTTCAATTATAAAATTGGGAGATGGAGTTCAAACCTCCGACTTGAAAAAATAGTAGATATCAATTACCACTGAACTATGCTCAATGTAGCTTTTCTCAGTCGCTAATTATTAAGCCTCGAAAAAGATTCGATCTCCTATTTATTTTTTTTATAGGAAAAATTGTACAATTTACAAATCAACACACCTAATTGCTTGAAGGATTAATATATATCCCTCTCCTCCCTCACCTTTTGTTTCTAGTATTATATTATAAATGTATGGGAAATGAATTGACATTCACTCATATTTTTATAGCTGACCATTTAATTTAAGCTGTACCCCTCCCAAAGTTTGTAAAAGTTATGACACTTTAAAATAATATTATTCATTTTTATTCCATCCCTGGTCTGAATCATTCAACTTTTGAAAAGTAAACGCTTGAGATTGGATTTTATTTTATTATTTCTTGGCTGATTCTCTTTTTCATCCTTTTGTACAAGATAATGGAAAACCTAACTAGAGCATAACTTTAGTAGATAAAATATCTTTTTTTTAGTATAATACGTTAAGGTGTATATTCGAAGCTCACGATCATTTGATCGGAAATAGGTGCCTTAATCTGTCTGAGCTATGCTCAAGTTGGCAGGTACCATCTATTCCAATTCAAATATAACTCAATTAGTTAAAGTATTCATTATTGTCTTCAAGATTGATCGTTCAATTTTCTAGTCGAAATTGTGGAACCATCCGGATATAACTCAAGTAGATAAGTATTACTATCTTCAAGTCTGAAATTGTTGAACTAAATATATACGTATATATAGATACATACTGTTATAGAGAACAAAAACGACCTGAAATGGGACAAGGAGTTGAAGCCTGAGATCATCGATTGGGGGAGGCCGGCCCGCGACGTAACGGGTAGGCCCAAAGAACGACCTAGCGCCAAGGCAGAGAACGAGGAAAGTGACTGGTGGAGAACCAACCGGGGCGAGAGGGCT